ACTAATTATTTGGGGACCACTATAATTCACTAATTATTTGGGGACCACTATAATTCACTAATTATTTGGGGACCACTATAATTCACTACCCTAGGCTTCCAACCACCATTAATTAATAGGCTGAATCCCGAATCAACTAAGGATTTTACACTACAAACACCAGGTCAGCCATTTTGTTAACGGTCTTGGAAGTCTAGGGACTATAAGCATCTCCGACTTGGAGCATACTCATAAAGTTGGTTGGATATCATGAATGATATATATATATATATGGATATCGATTTGCCTTCACCCCGCGACTAGACAAATCGACGCCGTTTCTGCGTTGCTGAGCTCTTCAATCTACTTCTAAAGATCGTAGTTTCAGGGACCAAATGTGACAAATCGGTCTACAACTCACCAAAAATGCCAGAAATCTCCCAAAATCCCATGCTACATCCGCCACATGGCCACATCACGGCCACTCCACACCCTCCCTCGGACCAGCAGGTCTGTCTCTTCGGCCAAGCGTTCCAAGCGCCGTTTGGCCTCGGTGCGCGACTCAGAATCCCCCGCCTCGAACGTGCCCGAACGTGCCATGAGGTGTGTGGACGTCGTCCCGACATCGAATTATTTCGGTGAAGAAGAGGAAGGTGGGTCAGGTCGTGAAACAGTCGTTTAAAGAAGATCCAGGTAGGGGTATGGTCCCAGAGCTTCCAACAGGGATACATGAGAACCTTCGGTGGTGAGTTTCTTTGGTCAGGCAGGGGTGTTTGTCGGCAACATCATGATATCAGTCCTTTTTCCATTGCAACTTTTTTTGTTGCACAAAAAGACATGATATCATCTCCAAACAAACTGGAGCGGATGGCCTGAAATCAACCAGACTTCACATGCGGTCGACATGGACCAGACTTCACATGCGGTCTTTCAAGACTGCCCTCGAGGTGCTGCCCTTCTCTCCTGCCGAAATACACTACATGGAAGTCAGATTCTCAGGCGCATCGAAGACAGTCATCCTCTTATGACTCTCGGCAGGACGCGCTTCCAGGCGGCAGGACGCGCCCAACCATCAAACATCTCGTCGACCAATTGCTCTTGAAGGGGTGTCCACGAGCGAACACAGACCAAACAGTCTAGCATCTCGATCTCTAAAGACGGTTTTCCTTCCTCTTCGCGCCTGGTCGAAACCGTCCCTCCACCCCTCCCACCTCCCATCCCTCAGTCGGCCACCCCTTTAGGTGCCATCCACAGCTCAGCCCACGCTTCTGGGAGCGCCTGACGCCGGCGCTCGGCTCGGGAGGACGTCCGTCTTCGCCCAGGTCCGCCCGTTCGTTCGACGTGATCGTTGGAAGATGGGACGCCGTTGGTCGTGGGTGCATGGACAACCAACGGACCCGTAACCAGTCACCCGTCACCGGACCCGTAACCGGAGTTCAAGCCCGGTCTACCGGTCTACTCCTGGCCTCGGCCTACCCTGCAGTCTTCGCGAGTTCGTGCGTCACGCCCAGCGATGACGGCCATCGAGTCGCGCCGACGACGAAACGGTCGACCCATTCAACGCCAACGTGAGAAGAAAGGTCGAAGTAGTCACATGGAGTTGGGTGGTGTGGCTCGTCCTCCAAGGGGCCGTGGATGTGACGTGGTTCGGGGCACCCCCGATCTTCCGAACGCTTCGGAACCGGGCACCGCACCAGCTCATGTGAGTGTCCCAAGCACCTCTTCGATGCTCCGGCCGGACAGGGACTGAAGTGGGGTGGCTTTGCCAGAAAAAAGAACCCACCTGGAACCCCAGTCCCAACCAGAAACAAATGGTTGTTCCAATATGGCAATTGAAATCCTTTAAATAGGAAATGGTTGTTTGGGGAAACATCAATTTCTTTCTGGTTGTTTGGGGTTCCAGGTGCAGTGGTTTGGGGCATTCCATGTGGTCCGACCGTCCGACCTGGTCGGGGCGGCCAACGGCTTTTGGGCGGCCGACGGTCCTGACCCTCGTTCTTCGTCCGTCTTCGCCACGTCGGGCCGGCGAAGACGGTCCGTCCCGCCGTCCTCGTGGCGGAGCAGGTCATTCGGCACGTCGAAGCACGGCAGGCGCCGGTGCCGCGGGCGCCAGGTGACTTGCCACAACGGGAGGTTCCCGTCGCCTGGCCGAAGCAAAGCGGTGGCCGGTGGCCGGTGGCCAGTCCTCTGGGTTGCGCACGTAGCTTTCAGGTCTTGTTTTGGTTCTTTCGGGTAGGAATGGTCTTGCTTGTTGGATTCCAAGTTGTAGAAATTCTCAAGTAGTGCGAAATCAGTTTTCTCGGCTTGAATTTAGGGGTGTTCTTGTGTTCCTTCGCCAAAGACCTTGGTTTTCAGGAATGTTAAGGATATTGGGGATTGGGCGTTAGATGTCAAGTGAAAGTGGGGAGGGAAAAAAATCAAGAGTCAGGAGGTCGTAAGAATCAAGCTGATTCTTCCTTCCTGGACAGTCTAGTGGACAGGCGAACCTAGCAAACGTTTGGTACATGACTCCAGTGTGACAGAAACGCTGGAAGCAAACACCGTTTCCATTGAACCAGATTGAAGGGCATGTCGAACTGAACGCCCACCATTGAAGGTTTGTTTAGCACCAAAAGTTTTTCGGCTCCTCCTTCTCATCCGGCGTTCAGGATCATGTGTGCTCTTTTAGCGTTTCTCGATGACTTTCGTCCATCCCCATTCTGTTCAGGTCCTCTTCCTTCGTGCAAAGAAGTGCTTGCCAACTTCTGATTCAGCTTCTAATAGTCCAAACCCTCCACACGCCAACTCTCCAAACCGGGCCGGACCCTCCGAACGTCCTCCTCCTTCCTCGTCCCCGTTTGGAATGAGACCGTGTGGCCTTGCAGCAGCTCGTGGTAGGGCGGTGGAGAGCCTTGCACATAGCCTTGGGACGTGTAGGGTTTCGGCTTGCGGCTTGCGGCACGGCATCAAATCCATTCAAAGCCCCTCAACCAAGCGCCTCAAGCCCCATCGGCCAATCGTCCTCAAGCTACATAAGCCCTTAAACGGTCCGTGCGAAGCGTGTGAGTCAGGACCCCTGCTGATCTTCTCCAAAAACCAGACCTACCGTCACCTTGAAGGTGTGTGCCTGACAACACCAGCCCAATTTCTGAAAATAGAATTTGAACATGTGTGTGTGTGTATGTCGTTTCATCCGAATTCGTCCGTAACTGTCCCAATATCCGGATCCAACAGCTCACCAGTCCAGCCACCCTCCAGCCGCACCAGTCCAGCCACCCTTTTGTTCTCTTCGCACCTTCGGCTTTGGAGCCCGTCGCCGTCGCCCGAGTTGTTCGACGGCGGGGCTCAGCGGCTCAGTGCATGGAGGCTGCGCAGGTGGCGCCGCGGTTCGGCGCGGGGTGGACACCCGCGCGCGGCGAGGCCCAGGTGTGGCACCTGCAGTCGATCAACCCGACGCGGGTCGAGGTGCGGGGGCTGGAGGGTGGGTCGAGCGACCGCAACCCGCGCCGTGGGACCCGGTGTTCCCTCGTGTTGGGAGGGGTTTGGGGGGTTCACAAAAACCGGTATAGAAGAGTCTGGGCAACCGGAAAACAACAAGCAGTCCGAACTGGGGTGAGTTGAAGTCAACCCGGCTCGGTTCTGTCGTGGTTCTCAGTGAATCCACTGACAGCGGTCCATCAAAGGAACTTCCAGCAGGGACAAGCGAACGAGCATGAAGTGCGAAGCTTTCTGGCATCAACACATACATGCACACAAACCTGAGCACGTTTATAAATATAGAACCACTTCCAACGGGTGCTGGACAACTCTCCTCGACTTACAGGTCTTCATTGGACACCCATTGGAAGCGCCTGCGGGGCTATGCTCTTTTTGTTTGTCCAAATCTGCGAAGACTCCGAATCCGTTGCACCATTGGAATACACTTACATACAACTGGTTCCTTTCCAAAGATCTCTTTCACATAGATGATCTTTGATGTGTTGGTGCTTTTCTTTTTATGATACTTCCAAAAATACCTTCTTTTCTTGTTGCTGAAAAATCTATCTACACAGCATCCTATTCCTGTTAGATAGATTTTTTTACCTGGGGCTGCAATAGTCTCTTCATAGAAGACACCTCCACAGTTGCCAAATGTCGCGTATAGAACTATAGAACATGTTTATTGATTTTTGCATGTCCGGGAAGTACATAAACGGGTGGACATGTTTTGATACTTAATTGTCACAATGTCCTTAAAAAGACCACTGCTCCTAAAAAGTAATTTTTATAGACTTTCGTTACACATATATAGGTGACCCAAAAAGGGATTTCCCTACTTCAGTCCGTCAAAAGATAGTTTTTGGACTTCTAGGGTGTGTATATATGTATATTATATGTTTGATACCGTTGCATTCCTTGGGTTAACCAAAACGCCCAAGGATTCCTGGCGATGTTGTGCCTGCCCTGGTGTCCATCCTCCGACCGGTGGACACGTGGAAAAGCGCCGGAGACGTCGAGGGAGCCGAAGTCTTTCTCTTCTTTTTTGGAAGACCGGTTGGACCTCTCTCGAGACTGTGTTCTTTCCAAGGGAAATCCACTGCACTTCGTGTCACCCCCCCTAATGTTTCTCTCCAACGAGGCTGTTCTGGGTCGGATTTGTGGTCGCAGCGTGGGGCTATACCGGCACCGAGACACTTTCGAAGAAACGCTTCAAATTCGGTGATGTCGTGCTCTTCGTACTCCAAGCCTCAGGAAAATGCAGGATTTGTCGCATCCAAACCCAAAAGCCTCAGGAAAAACTCTTATATCTTCAATCTACATCTAGACAGTTTTGTTGAGGACTTCTTAATAGACCCAGGTGGCAAAAGGTTCTGATGTCCGACGAATTCCGAGAAACCCATCTTCTCCAAATATGCCACCTCTGCCGTCTGCGAGGCGCCCAGGCCCGAGTCTCGTCGCGCCTCCTCCTTGGCCATGCTATCGCAAAGCTTCGGCCACGCGAGCTTTCCACGGCCCACTTTGCCTTGGAAAATGGGATCTAAGATGGTCTGAGATGGTCTCTGACAGCCGCAAGTGAATAAAAACAAGACTGTAGCGCTAGGCTAATGGCCCTACATAGCGTCTGAGGTCGACGAGACGACCAGGTTCTGCCGTCCTTCGTCGCCCGTTTCGTTGAGTCGTTCCGTGGGGTTCTGGACCTGAGTCGGCCTGGTGTTTAGGGCCAGGGCCTCTGCGGTGAGCTGTCAAGATGGTCATCACCATTACTGAAAACCTAAACCAATTACTGAAACAACTGCTACTGCACAGAAGCTCAGCCAAGTCACCTTCGAAGTAGAACACGTGCAATTTTTGCCCAAGCCTCATAGCCTCCTCGACGTTCTTCCTCCACCTTATTTGGCCAGTTCAGTGGGATATATATATATATAGCAGTTGATGGAACTGGGAATTGCTGGCCCCTCCCTCCCAACAAACATAGAAGTAAAAATCATGGTAGAGGAAGATTGTCTTCCAAGGGAAGTGGCTTCCACTTCAATGATTGTAGGACGGAGTCTTCCGAAGTGGCCTTATTTCACTATGATGTTATGTGTTGCGAAGGCAGAAGGATGTAAAAGGTTGGTAACACAGCCAAGCCGCTCTTCGAACCAGGAGCATCCCCAAGGTGCTCTGCATCCGTTCTGCCTGCACCTCTCCTCCGCAATCTTCAATGCCTGGTTGAGCTCACTCTCCCACTCAAGCTCTGTTTGGTCCTCTTTGATGACCAACACCAATCCTTTCTTCATTGAACTCAAAGAAATATGTGGAGAAATGCTTTTGGATGACTGAATATTCAATCCCTAAAGCAAAACCTACAAAAACTGAGTTGTAAAATTGCGAAAGTCCCATGGCAGCAGCATCGGCTCTCTTGAACGCCAAGACTTCTTCAGTGATGGGTCCATTGGTTTCATCGTGCACATCAATCACCATCAGGTAGGTATCTAGTGGCAACTCGCCGTAAATGGTGTGACACCAACACCGTCCTGGTGTATCAGGATTGTCTGCCAATCCTGAAGCGCGGTCTGTGAGAAAGACGCATGCCAGTGAGCATCCGTTCCCCTGCTGCGTCGATGACACAGCGGCGTCCCATTCCTGGCGTTGGCTTAACTTGCGGGGCTTGATAAATTGTAGAATACGGTGCCTCGAAAGACAAAAGAGCTATTCTGCATACATGTTCAACAACCTCCAGCCACAACAGGGTTTGGAGCATCTGGGATGAGAGCAAAAATGTTGAGCCGCTAAGCTGGCCAAGTGTTTATATAACTATTCCTGAGCGTGGCTCCTAAACATCATTAGCATAGAACAAGAAAAAGAAAAAAAAGAAACAACAAAGAAAGAGAAGAAGAAGAAGAAGAAGAAGATACACGTAGGAACCTCGTTTGCCATCGACTTCCAGCCTTGCTGTACTTGCCCGGAAAGGACACGATGCAATCCAGTGCGGATAAAATGATCTTGCCTGGAAAGGCAATCCTCTTGGCCGCCAAGCCAAAGCCGGACAGATCCGCCAGCTTTCGAAAGGTCTCCATCGGTCTATCCCATCCTTTTGGGCCAATCATGCCGCACATCAGTAGCACGAACAGGGTCTGGAGCCCCACATCCAGAGTCGGGATCATCGAGAAGAGCACTCCAGCAGGAGAAAGAGAAGCGAAGAGAAGGCCACGAGTAGAGATCAAGGACAAGGCAGAGCCAATGCTCAAACCTGGCCCAAGAAGAGCCAGCAACGCATTCAGGTACAAGCAGGAAATAGCACCCAAAACGCCTGCTTCACGTTTGGCACGGCACAGAGCCATGCTGGCGATCCAGATCAAGCAGAGACTTTGAAGTAAAACGACTAAGCCCAAGGGGATCAAGCCCATCAGAAGAAATGGAAGAGGCAAAAAGGGTGAAAACATGTAGTACACCAAAGCGATAATCAAGATCAGCATGCCAGCCACGGAAACGAGAGTGAGCACCTCGCACATGGTGCTCAGACAACGAAAACCCAGCACTCTGAGTTTTTGGTTCGTCGTTTGCATCTGCAAGAGGTTTGCCAAGACGTAGAAAAAGAATACAAAGAAGATGACGGTCATATAAAGGTTCGGTGAATCAAGCGTCAGGATGGTTGCCATGGATTGATAGATGATGCTGTCGTCTGCCAAACAAATTGCGATGTAGAACATAGCACGACGGCCCCAAATGTGTAGCCACGACTTGGAAGAAAAGCGGGTGTTTCCTGAGATTTGCACAAGTACATCCAAGCTAGCATTCACTTGCCACTTGACAGAAGGATACAGAAGGTGTTATTGTGGTTTTTGGTTGTGCGAAAAGTCGGAAAACCAACAAAAAAACAACGCGAAATCCTTGGAAATGGAAAGTCAAAATTGATGGGGGACTTTGAAACCTCTCTGTGTGAAACTATTGCTGGGTGGATTTCATCCAGGTCGCTGCGGAGGAAGCAGTACACTCCAAGGCCACTGATGAGGGGCCTCAATACGCCATCCAAGACACAGAAAGTGAACAAGAGTGGCCAATCATGATTCCCATAGTGCAGACTCGCACGAAGTGCAATCAATTGGGCCAGCGTGCCAAAACAGAAATTGGCCACGATGCGTGCCAGCGTATACCTCGCATGATGACTGAGAGAGGCCAAATGCTTCGCAGATCATTGTCATATCGGTTCAAGCGAGAAACAAAACCACACACACTTGGCCAACCTTGGCATACAAATCAGTTCTGAGTCCATTCACTTCAGGCCCAAGTGACAAGAAGAGCAAAACATGTGAAACCACTTGTGCCCTGGTCCATCTGACAGACCTCGACGCCGTTTGCCTTCGTTCCAGTTCCCAAGCCACGGCGGCCAACTTGCTCCTCTGGCGCCTCACACTCCGCCGCGAGTCCCGCTGCACGGCCAGCGGCGGCGAGGCGTCCTTCGCGTCCTTCCCTTCCTCCGAGGGCAGCACCAGCGTGGTGGGAACGTCGTCCATGGCGGAGGTCTTGAAATGAATTGGCCCCTGGTGGTGTTGGTGGCTTTTCCTCACTACATAGTGGACTTGACGGCGAACTGACTGCGGCAAAAGGGCCACGTTCCGATCTATCCTGAATAGTCCCTTGAATCGATCATTATCTGATCAAAGGGGAGTCCTGAATAAAGAGGATGACATGAGAAAACACTACATCAAGAAACACGTGGTGCACTCACGCAGTGTTCTTCCAATTCGCCGGTAGGTGTTCCACTTCGCCCCGGTCGCCCCCAAAGAGTCTCTCGACCCCTTTTGGATCTGAGACTTGGGTCGCAGACTCAGCGGAAACGGAGTGGCGATTTCGCTGTCTGTCACTCATCAAAAGTTCTGATACAAGTGTGTATGAGAACAGAGACCTCCCAGGCAACGACCTTGGAAAAAGGAAAATTTACCACGACCCAATTGGTGGGGGGGTCCCTCTCGAAATACACGCCCATATGTATCAATTCTTATCCAAATGCAAAAAACTGCAAGGAGATCAATCACCAAAAGATGTTACACACGTCGGCTCGTCTCATGAAGGGCAATGACCCGGGTAATTCCATAAGACGTCCTATGAAGGGAAGAACACAAGCAGTTGCCAAGGTTTTTAGTGATCCCCAAATAGATAGAAACGGTTTCCAATACATTTCAGTAGGGATCTACGTTTTTATCTATTTGGAAGTCTAATATACTGCAGGCAAGGTGTATTAGGAATCTTTTCCTGTTTGAGGAATCTGATGACTTAGGTGAGGACCTTTCCTGGAGTCATGCAGCAAAGCCCCAGGTCTAAAGAGACGCCGAGCGAGCACGCGTGCCTCTCCCTAACATGCCTTTCCCTGACATGTTTTTGCTTTTGCAAATTCTTGCAAGGTTCCGCAAGATTGCGATTAAAAAAAAGTCGACCAACTTTGTCAGTTACATGTCATGTCCATGAACCCATGATTCTTCAGCACTTGTAAGTCTTTTGCATAGGTTTTAGCACGTGTGAGAATGTTGCACTTACACTGCACTTCCAAGAGACTTGACCTAGTTTTGGCATTTGCAAAAGACTTGACCAAACCTTAGCATTTGCAAGAGGCTTGGCCAAGTTTGAGCGCTTGCAAGAGAC